ATATATATATCTCAAACGCTATGCTTAATTTTATCAAAAATCACATCAGGAATGGCCAGAGATTTTTAACTAGAAATGGAGCCTGGGGTTATGTGTCTAGGCCTAGTGGGCATACACATTCAAGGAAAGTAAAATCCAAGAAAAAAGGTGTTGGAGCACATACTAAAGATTTGGCAAGAGGGTTTCACACTTGAGAATACATCAGAGTCACTTGCCTCATAAGAGAGAGTGCTGGGCCTTACTTCTCAGGTATTTCTGACTTTGTAGATCTGTGCTGGAAACAGAAAATTTGCATTTCTAACCATCTCCCTCCCAGGCTACTACTGCTACTGATCCAGGTAGTGTACTTTGTGGAGTACTGAATCAGACCGTGGAGACGTAGCCTAGTCAGCTCAAGGGATCTGAGCAAGCTGCTTACTCTGATCTGCACAGAAAGAAGATGGTTTATAGAGATTTCTGAGAGAGTTGTGAGATCATGTGACTGAGTGGGACTCCAAATAGTTTTAAGGGACTTGCTTCCTCTTGAGTTACTGAACTTATAGCTGTAGTCTAGAAGCCAAAGGAATGAGAAGGGTTTCAGGAACTGAGATCAGAGTTAAAATCAACTGTTGTAAATGAGGTGGAAGACAATACATGGACTCAACTTGCAAAACTTCCAGCTAAGCTGAGTTAATTTCTCAAAGGTCATGCTGATATGTTTAAGCCAATTTATAGAAGTTTATTCCCTAACGTTGGTATCTTTTAGCTGATTATGTGCATGTGTCAAGGTGCAATAGACATGGTAGAGGAAGGGCAGCCCAGAGAGGGAAAGCTCATTCAAGCAAAGGAAATGACTTAGAAGGAGCCACGCCCAGTGGCTGCTCCCTATGCATCCCACTCTTAAATGCAATCAATACTCAGCAAAATAGTCATAAATTAATTCGTGGAAAAGTAGCAACCAGTTCAACCAGCAGGCAGCATGGGGACCAAGTTCACCTGTGGCAATATTAAAACGGAAACAACCTGAAATTCAAATCACATCTCATATTCTTCATTACACTGTACTAACTGGGTTTCCTGAATTTGAAAAAAATAATTTAAATGTAAAGTTTTCGCATACTATTTTCAGTGTTTCTTCCAGATGAAATTTGCATAACATAATAATAGTAATGACTTCAGACTTTGGGGGACATTGCCATTCGCTTTATTTACAGACTTTCATGGACTCAAGTGGATTTTCTTATTTTTCCTTCACAAAAGACTAATGGTACTGCATTCAACAGAACCATTTAGTAAAAAAAAAACTAGGAAAATATAGAAATGTTTGGGTAACTGAAGAGTCAAAGACTCCTGTTTATTTTCGTTCCATTTTTGCTAATTGGAAAAAGAAAAAACTACTTTGTGATGCTTGCAAGGGAAGCTATAGTTCAACTCGTGTATTAAAGTCCTGTAAAAAAATTACTCCGGAGACTTTGCCTGCACGCGGCGGTCAGATATTTCAGTGCCTGGTTGCTCCTTCCTGTTGCAGGTACATGTGACAGCGCTGCAGCTATGAGTGGAATTTTAAAGAGGAAGTTTGAAGACGTTGATGGCTCCTCGCCCTGCTCCTCTGTCCGGGAATCGGATGATGAAGTTTCCAGCAGCGAAAGCGCTGACAGCGGAGACAGTGTCAATCCATCCACCTCTAATCACTTCACCCGTGAGTACTAGAGCCACACCTGGGGTTTACTGTGAGGCTCGAGAGAAAAGAATCTTTTTTTTTGAATTTTTACCTTCATGGCTGTATATGCCCTTGCATTTTTCTAATGGGTGAAATGGATTAACTAAAAGTGAAATCTTTTTGAGGCACCTCAGTGGATTCCTTTATTTACATAGACTTGGCAGTGCATTATTTGGTCATGTTAGTTCACTGATGCAACCAAAGTAGTTATTTTATTCCTGCTGTCTTCGAGCACACAGGGCACTGGGAATAGACAAGAAATGTCTAATAAACTGAGATTAGAACAAAATGCATCTTCCCATAGCTGAAATGATGTCCTGGGAGAAAATGAAAGGGGTATCTAAGAATGGAGGTCTCAGCCACGATGAGAAAGAGGTCAGGCAGCTATGCATGGAGAGAGAGTGAAAGCCACTGACAGTCCTCAGTGCAGGCATGGCCTCTGTGAAGCCTTTTCTTCTCTCTTCCCATGGGTAATATTCAAAGTCCACAAAAGGAAAAAAAGGGAAGGTATGTTCTATCTTTGATTCCTTTCTCTGCCTCCCTGTAATGTTACCCATTCCTACTAGACAAGGTAAGGTGAAGTTTAAAGGACTGCTTGGAAAACTCTGAAGGTAGTGCTACCTAAGCCCAAGAAACTGGCTTGGAGTAGCCATGTAACCTTGGAATTTCTGCTCCTACAACATGAAGATTTTAACATGTCACAATATCATGGAAGATAGCTGGTCTTGGATTTTTTTTTATGATTACATTTATTTATTTTGTGTTGTGATGAGGCAGTGTGCACATGTGGTATGGAGATCAGAGGACAGCATGTGGAAGTGAGTTCTTTCCTTCCACCATGTGGGTTCTGGGGAACAAACTCTGGTCACTCTGCTTGGCAGCACTGAACCATCTTACCAGCCCCGTTTGTTTTTTATAGTTAGCTGATTTGATTAGTATATGAATCTCTAAGAGTACATTATTTTGGAAATATGACAACCTTCAAAAATCTCCAATGATTCAAACTATAAAAGAGATAATAAAGAACTCAATAACTGTTGAACATGAGGTGCATATACCAAAGTCAATGGCACTCCTTTAAGCAGTCATAATTAATTAAAAAATACATCGAAAGGACAATCACAACTGTTACAGCAGAAAAATCACAAACTACTTGGGGAAAAAGCTACTGAGATCTGCATAGTGACCTTTTACATGATGTGTTTGTATCACAATGTTATGAAATGAACTCGTGCTTTTGATTCAAATGATGGTTACTGACCATTGAGGCTTTAACAGTACTCATGATAATGACATCATCTCAATCAGGCACAGCCAGTGAGATAATACACATGAAAGAACATTGCAGAAGGTCAGTACAAGTCACATACTGTACCACAGATTATGGTATTACCTAACCCTTACTAGATGTTTGCTAGACTTCATTGGTAACAGGGACTCAGAAAGCCTAAGGACTTCACCTTTGATATGTATATGTGCCTCAGGCCAGTCTTAGTCTTTCCCATGATCTCATTCTGTTCCTTCATTATACAATATTGCAAATACAATCTTTAAAAATATTATTTTTAAAATTGTTAATCATGGGTGTGTGTGTATGTGAGTGCAGGTATCTATAGAGACCAGAAATGGGTGCTGAATCATCTGGAACTGGAGTTACAGATAGTTGTGAGCTGACTGACTTGGGTGCTTGTAATAGAACTTTTGTCCTCTATAGGAGCAGAAAGTACATTTAACCACTGAGCCATCTCTCTAGCCCTTTGAAATATTACTGATTGAAAATTATAAAAAAACTTAATAAACGTAAATTATATTTGTGCATATAAAGATAGATGACGTTATGTATGTCTTCTGAGTTAATATATAAGTGAGCATTCAAGCCCAGCCAACATAATGTTGAGAACATGACATAAATGTTGAAAACACATTCCAGATATCACAAATTGTTATTCAAAACAATATAATTGACCCCCCTCCATGGTGCTTTATCTAGGAAAGTACAAAAAACCCTGGCCTCTTACATACAAGAATTTAATTAGCTGGGCGTGGTGGCACATGCCTTTAGTCCCAGCACTTGGCAGGCAGAGGCAGAGGCAGGTGGATCTCTGTGAGTTCAAGGCCAGTCTGGTCTACATAGTGAGTTCCAGGTTTTTAAAAAAAAAAAAAAAAAAAAAAAAAAAAAAAAGAGGATTTAATTAAAAGATATGAGCATTATTGAATGAGAAAGGGAAAAATTCTTATTAAATGGTTTTATAATTCAAAATTTTGAAAATGAAGTATTTATTTGGTTGGTTTTGGTTTTGTTGTTTTTATTTGGTTTCGTTTGGTTTTGTAAAGATATGCTCTCACTTATTTAACACTGACTAGCCTGGAACTTTCTGTGTAGACCAGACTGGCCTCCAGCTTCCAGAGATCTGCCTCCTAAGTGCAGAGATTAGAGATGTGCACCATCACGCCAGCCCTTCTAAGTAATTTTGACTCTTGTGGCCTGATAAAATGCATTCCATATAGATTAAATACAAATTTTTTAAAATCATGAAGATTTTTCATTTTTGTAAGGCAGAAGGTAGATTATTGTATGAGCTTTGAGGTGGTAGGAAAGAATAATATTAGAAAACATTTAACTTTAAACACACAAAAATATCAAACTTATTTGCTACAAAAAATCAAAGCAAAAAAGAAGCAGTTTATTTTGGAAAACTGTATTTAGTAAAGGATTAGATTATTTTCTAAATAGTACATAGAAACACATGTAATTTTTCTTTTCCAAGTATCCCTGGCTGGCCTCTAACCTGAAACCATTTGAACTCATCATTTATGATTGACTTTTAGAGTTAAGGGAATATCTCAGCTAGTTTGCTAAGACACCGTTTTAACTTTGTACCAAACAGAGTCTAGCAGATTCTGTTTTTGGTTTTGTTCTGTTTTTAGATTTGATTTTATTATCATTTTATGTATATGTGTATGTGAGAGTATGTACATGTAGAGTGTAGGTGCCTGTAGAGTTCAGAAAAGAGTGTTAGATTCCCTCGAGCTGGTGGTTGTGAACTGCCCAGCATGGATGCTGGGAACCAAACTTGGGTCCTTTGGAAGAGCAGCAAGTGCTTTCAACCATGGAGCTATCCCTCTAGCCCCACAAATTCTAGTTTTTAAAGACAATTCAATAAATGACTTACTAGCAGTGCCCTTTCCAGCCAATAGTCTCCTTTCTCTCTGTATTCACCCTGTGGAGAAAAAGATAAAGTAGGAGAATAAAAAGAATCAAATGACAAAAGTTCTTTGTAGAATATTTTCTGTATAAAAGATCTCAGCATTTTGACCTGCATGAGTGTGGTGGTTAAAATGTTTCTCTTTTTTAAAAAACACATTTCAAATTATTCACTGCTTCGGAAATCAATATAAAACATTTTAAAAAATGGTTTTATTATTTCAATTAGATTAGTTATACATTTATTTGCAACATCTTCTTGATGTAACTCTATGATTATAAACCTTCAAAGATATTACGACTAAATCCTATTTCTTTAACTTATTTTTCTACCATCAAAGTGAAAATGATTTCTTGTCTTGAAATAAAGAAAAGTTTTCAGACTAACCAGATTTGTGCAGCAATATGAAAGATTCACACGAGATTTTTGAAAACGTGGTTGCCATTATTTAAGTTTCACTCATCACGGTTCATCTTTCCAATTTCCGAAAGCCTGTGCTCAGAGCTTTCCAGTCACTGACACATTGTACACTACAACATTCCTTGTTTTCACACATATAGAATTTAATAAGATTGCTTGGTACATGTCAGCCGCTGTGGTAGTGGGAATTTCATGCTATTCTAAGCTTCCTGTGAAGATTTTCAATTTGTAGCTCACCACATTATGATAATAACAGCTTCAAAATGCAAATTAGAAAGAATCTGATGGCTTTTTCCTTGAACTTCTAAATTTTGCTAGGCAACCAGCATCCTTACCAGTGATCAACCAAGGTCATAGTTTGTACTTTTCTTGAAATAGAAGCAGCGGATTCCATAGGGCTGTGGAACGCTTTGTTTCACCAAATCCCTCTGGCTCTTTAGCCAATCATTCTGTCAAAAGGAGGCTACGTAGAAACCTGAGGAGTGACTTTTTTCTTCTGCCCTCTGAAGTTTCTTGGCATTTCACACTAGTAACAAGAAGCTGTGTGATGAAACACTGTCCCAAATGGAACATATGATTTCTCCTGCAGCAGTGTTCCAACAAATAAGTGGAGTAGGTATAGGAAGCAAAAATACGAAGTAAGAGAGGCTTCCTAAACTGCATGAGAGTTGGTAGCAATGCCTTTCAATGGTTAGCTTTTCTAATTCACAGCATACTTCCACATTCTTGAGATTTTTAAACATACAATTGTTGTGTGAAGTCATTATATCCATAATAAAAGTAAAAATTAATAACCAGGAATGTATTTATAATTTTCCCAAGAGCTGAATTATGTTGTTCTCCTTCCCCCCTTCCCTTTTCCCATGGCCTACATTTTCTCTGAATTCACGGTGCATAAATACAAGTCAGTTTTCCTTCAGTTATTTTCTCTTACTGATTGCACATTTCATAATGGGATTTGATATCAAGAATCAGTAGAAAACAGATTTCAATGTGAAACTTTCCTGAAAGTGTGGCTGGAACATGTCTGCCATTTTCTCTTCACTAAGCAGTTAAAATACTCTGAAGCCTTAAAGAATGTGATACATACAGGCTCTGTGCTAGGTGCTCTCAGCGACATCAAAGTGATAGACTCCAAACAGCTAATGTGCACTGGAGTGTCAAGTACAGTCATCCAGCCTCGTGATATCATTTTGAGAATATATGCTTACCAAGACAACTGTAGCAATCTACCCATGAATCAAATGATTTTTAAAAAATAGCTCTAGCATTTGGGCAGAAGGTCATCATAGGAGCTTTAGAAGCCTGGGCAGGAAGTAGGATTCTGTGATACTCAGAAACTCCTTTTATGCT